CTGATTTCTAACCATCAGAGCAGCAAGAGCCAGGAACAGCTTCTTGGTGCCTCTAGGAAATGCCTTTTAAGGGTAAGTGAGAGGACTGTCAGGCACACAAGCTCTTGTTCTCGTTTGAAACTCCAGACCATGTACAGTTGCTTGAGTTTAAATTCATTAAATTAACTAACTGAAAGCCTGTAATGGAGGGTTGTTGGTTGATTGGGGCTTTTTTGCTGGCATTGTTGTGTTTGGGGTAGGTTTGTTGAGATGATTTCTCAGTATTTCTGGAGTTGCATGGCTGTACTATGTATGCAGGGTTGTGTGCAGTGGTCAGAAGTCTGCCATGGAAAGGCCTCTTTGTGTCATATTACTGCTTTTGTAAGATGATGATGTAATGGAGCATCTGTGAGAGAAGGACACTGAACCTGAGAACTCCAGAGAGCTTTTTTTTTGCTAAAAGTGAGTCTTATAAAATGGTGTTGTAACGAAAACTTGGCTTTCATTAGCCACTGGAAGTGGCCCGAAGTTCCTTCCGCAAAACATATGGCATATATGGCATATACAGGGCTTTGCTTAAAGTCGATCAAGATGTTTTGTCATTCTGTAACTCCTGCCATCTCATTTTCTCTCTAAAAGAACCTATTTCCCAAGTCCAAAGATACCTGAGCACTTGCAGCAACAACAGATGGTCCCTCCTGTGCATGGTAACATTTCCAGGAACACAGATGCTCCCTTGAGCTCCGCATGGGCAGAAATTAAAGCCTCTGGACAGTGAGGAAATCTGGCCAGGCAGCTACAAAAATTGGCGAGAAAGTGATTGCTTCTATTATAGTGATGGATGAAGGACCACTGAGGCAGAGCAGTCACCCATCGACTTTGAGGACCCTGCCCATTGGTAAGTAGTGGAAATGGCAGTGTCACCAAAGACCAAAGCCTGTCCTCGCTGCACAGAGCCCTCACTGGGACAGCAGCAAACGAGTGAGGACACACACACATGTGTGCACATACAAATTTAACTGTTGCCATCTAACGGTCAGCCTCTAATGACCCAAGTAGGGCATGGTCTCAAGTCTCACCTCTGCTGGATTCCTTGGCTGGGAATCAGCTCCAAATTGCAAGCACCAAAATGTTGCTGTTGAGATGTCCCAGCTCTCATAAAGGCAAGTGGAGAGCTGCTCAGTACAGCCAGTGGGGTCTGTGGTGGGATTCAAGTCACCGTAAGGCAGCACATGCCTTTGGCCGGCTGAATCACTCTGCAGACACCACTGGCATGTAGACACCAGCACTTGGACACCTACACGCAGTCTGGATCTGAATTGTACCCTCCATCTCATGGCTGTGGATGGGTGTCACAACACCACACAGCAACACGTCCTCTGCAGGCTCCTGTTTGCGAAGTGTGGGTGATCCTTGGAGTGGAGGCTTCCTCTCCCCGCACATCGCCTGCCTGCCTGTGACACTGGGGCCATAATCTGAACTGGGACCTGGACGTGCTTCTGTAGAAAGACCCAAGAGAGCAGGGGGGTGCCAGGACTGCATGGGGCTTTGGGCAAAGTTGCTAGGTGGCCCTTTGTCTCCTGGAACCTGTTTTCCCGGTGTTGCCCGTGGACTTTTTTTCCCGGGTGTTCCTCTTAGGCCGCCCCCTGCCTGTCATCCCTGCCCCGTGCAGGGATGACACGTCCTGGAAATCCTCATCCATACACAGAATCCAGCCAAATGTCCAAGTCCCAAGAATAGCTCGTGCTTTCCTCCCCAAAAAGGGCAGTGAGAGCCTCCCACTTCTCATCCTTGAAAGGAAAAGCGTGGGTTTTTTACTGGTGTGCCAGAGAGCAAAGTTTTATCTATCCAGTCCTTCTGAGGAAGGTTGTTACTGGTAGCAGTGATGTTGAAAGCACTTTTGAGTGAAATCCATCTCCCCATTTTACCAGGAAATTTGTGCTGAAATGGCAAAGGACAAGGAATTGAAAGCTGAAAGACTCTTTGTCCTCTTTGGCAACAGAATTTACTTTGTAAGGAGGAAAGAGACTATTGAAGAAAATCAGAAGAGGAAGAAATAATATATCCTGCTGCTGCAACTCCATGGATTAATGGCAAGAGCTGGAAGGTCAAAAATCTATACCCAAAGGTTTCACCACGTCACTGCTGCACACAGTGTTTATTGTGCTGTTTGCTGCACTTGCGCCACCAAAACCTCTTGTCTAGAAAAACAATGTTTTCCTTAAGGTTCAGAAAGTATTTGACTAAATAGTATTCTTTCCATCATCAGTGTTTTCCAGCTATAGTGTCAAACGGGGAGCTATAGCAGGAACATATAGTGCATGAAAATATTCTGGAAAGAAGAAACAGCCCCTGGAGGAAGGGATGAAGCAAACTAAGGGAAGAAGGAAAAACCTTTCCACAACCCAAGGTTACCCATTTGCAAAGAGAGAAATATCTCATCTGGGAAGAAGAATAACAAGAGGCTTGCCAGGACAGCAAGAAGTTCTTAATGAACAGGATTGTATCTGAACTATTCCCATATAAAAAAGTACTTTCTGAACTTCAGAGAAGGAACATCAGAGCCATCCCACAAGAAAAAAGTAGTTGGTAGAAGCTGCTTCTAGCTGAAGTACCATGACCTTTGAAGGTCTGAAAAAGCCTTGAAACAGAAAAAAACTGGAACAGATTTCCAAGGGTTATCTCCTAGCAATCACAAAACTTTTTAATCTCGGTTTCTCCTACGGTCCTCTTGAAGCATCTCATTCTTTCTGCCTGTCCTCAGTTGCTAGCTGGATAGTTGTTTTTATCATCAGCCAAGCTGGATTACTGAGATGAATGAAGCACTCTACAACCAAACAGAAACTGAAGAGCCTTCTCTAAATTTTAATACAATTTCAACAGAAAAACAGAGACAACTTCTGTCAGTAAAGCGCCTCTTTCACATCCTGCAGTATCAGGGGCTGAGTTGCACTAAATGCATTTTGAGTGCATATAATTAAAACATTGCACACTTTCACAGAGAAGTTCAACTGACCAAAATTTCAAGGACTAAGAACATAAATCCAGGTTAAAATACCTACTATAAAGACAGGCCTGATTTTCAAATCTGCTCATCCACCACTTCTTCTCAATAACTGTAGTAGGAGCAACCCATTTAAAAGTCAGGCTACTCTTCTAAAGCAAGCTTTCAGGTAACTTTAGGATCATGCATTTACTTTTGAAAACCATCTGGTCTTGGCTGTATCTGTGCTCAGGTTTAGCTCCATCACTTGTTTTTGTTCAAATAACACAAGATACGGTAGCACTTATACTGGGTGCCAAATTTAGACATACAACCGTAAAGACATCATCTAACCGTGTGTCTAACATTTAGTGCAAGTGCTGTTCGTGTCTTCCAGCTGGTTTCCCTAAAGCAGGAGGGCAGCCAGCGAGGGTAATATAACCCACGGATGGGTGTTCTTCAGAAACAACCAGCATGAAAATGAAGCAAAGCACCAGTCATGGCTCAGACTCTGCTGGGAGACCAGTGACTCCTTCCAGCTCCACCCAGCATCACTTGACTTTCAATCAATGGTTTCAAACTTAGTGGAATTACGTCACTGTAGGTGGCCAGGAGATCACAGTCACCAGTGGGCATCAGATACCCAGCTGCCATAAGGACTGCACTTCTGTAAGCATTGCATGTCCCTGTTACAGAGTTTTACAAATGCTAAGTTTTCCAGTAGCATGGCCACAATTACCAGATATCTTTGGGGCTTTATTTTTTTGATGGTAGGAGATGGGTAAGAAGAATAACAGGAGTCATACCAAGTAAAGAGATAATTTTATCAATTTCTTGCTACATCTATCCATCAGACCTTACTCTAGTAAGAGAACAGATCTAAACTAGCATCAGACTTGGTAGCCATTAGTTCTGCACTCTTAGAGATGTCTGCAGAAACCAAATGACTATTACTTTGATGACACTTGAAAGAGTG